TGCCGCTCCCGCTGTACCCGGCACACACACACCAAGCAGGAGCCCCATGAGCCCGGCGTCCTGCCCCAGCCAGGCAGCTCCCCTTGTGGGCAGGGTGGCTGCGCCCCGGCCGCGCAGCAGCGCAGGCCGGCTGGGCCCCACCTCCGGTGCTGCTGGGCCCGTGCTGTGGCCCGAGTAGCGGAGCCCTGGGGCAGCCCCCACTCCCCGCCTGACACCAGCTATTTACTGTAAAAAATAAAATAAAAGCAACATTCATGATTATTCATAGTATTAAACATGCAGTGCGTCCTGCCGTGTACCCCCTCCGCCCCCCTTTTGGTTTTGTGGTGTGCCGCACTCCAGCACTTTACAAGGTAGGCATTGTGGTTTTTTCGGTACTGCAGCCAAAAAACGTTGCCCCCCCCCCCCGCGCCTTCTAGGAGATATTCCAATGTAACTTCATCTATTTAACTGATTGTGGCTGAGAAGAAAGACTTCTTTCTCACCAGATGGTGCTGTTGCACTGTTCAGTGCTGTCAAGTAAGCAGGGAGCCTTCATTTATAAGCAAAAAGCAGCAAAGTGAAAGTTCTGTCCGACATTTAAATGGACACATTTAATGGACTCATCTACTGAAACATCTAGTAGAAAATTCCAGAGAAGCAGTACATTACATGTCATGCCTTCCCTCTGCTTCAGGACTGGGCAAGACATGAAGAACCTGCAATATGTAGCTGCATTATGGCAAATCTGTGAAAGCTGAAGCCAGCTATACCTGTTTTCTCATCAGCATCCAAGATTTTAGTTAATTATTCCAAATTCAGGTTATTCTATAGCCAACGGGTCAGATCTTCAATGGATATTTTTTGGGATAGTTGCATTAAGGTCCATACGGGCCACGTATACATGAGATGCTGACTGTGCAGTAGCTACGAAGTGTAACACAGTGCTACTGCACAGTAGTAATGAGCTGCTGCACAGTCGGCATCACCAAAAAGCCATTTGGGGACACCACTGTGCAGTAACTCTGACTATTGTACAGTCATTTAGTACTTGTCCGTGCAAGTACTAAATGACTGCGCAGTAGCAACTGTGTAATCAGCATCTCATGTAAACATGGCCACTGATTTATATATCAAGACTTAGCTGTGCCTGCTTCTCAAATATTTCTCCTTCCTAAACAACCATCAACAGTGAGAAACAAACTCTGTTGTAGAATCCAGGAATCCCACCCTGAAGTTGTACTTTTACAAACTGGTACTTCCCATGACGTTAATATCCTAAAACAGCTTAACACTCTTTTTTTCTTGAAAAAGTCATTGTGGGTAACATGCTTTTGTCAGTACCTGCTCTCTTTCATATGGCATCAGATATCAGCTTCCAAATCTATGAGCCGCAGGGCATGTCTTCACGTGCATCTGTTACACATGAATAAACTCTGGAGCATATTGCTCTGGAGTTCTTTTGCTCCCAGGTGTGTCGTTTGAATGTGCTTCTGGGACCAATTAACTCCGGAGCAATGCACTCTGCAGTTTATTCATATGCAGCATGTTGAGCCAGGTCAGAGCAGTCCTGCCTGGCACTTCAACACTCCATGTGCTGCAGAGGGGCTTTCACACAGGGCACCCTAGTGCCTCAGCCAACCCGGGCAGTGTCTGCACGTGCACTGCTGCAGTTTTTTCTGCAACAGGACAGTACTTGTATTTACAAGTACTATCCAGCTGTGGAGCAAATTAGTTTATTGCAGTCTAATAGCTGCGTGTGTATAGACCAGGGGTGGGCAATTATTTCAGCTGGAGGGATGCTTAACAAGTTTTGGTGAGTTGTTGAGGGCCACAAGGGTAGCCCCACCCCTTGACAGGTGAACTACCTCCTGGTCACCATCTGGGATCAGAAGTCCCACCACTAACCCCTGACCTTTACCACTGGAACTCCGTCCCCTTGCCCCCAGAAATATTCCTTTTGGATGGTGGGGGGGGGAGGGTTGCCATCTGAACCAGAAAAAAAAATCATATACTAAAAGTAAAACATTTACTGTAGCATATTTTAAGTTTATTACAAGAAATATTTTTGTCATGATTTGTGTTTGTAGTGTACATGGAGGTGACTGTGTAATAGGTCAAAAATAAAGCCTTAATCTTGTATTTTGTATGTGGGGGAGTGTGTAGGGTGTGGTG